GTTCAAAATGAAGTTGTTAACAACCCTAGGATTCGAATCTCATGACGAATTATGAATGAGGTTTGTTTGGTGTGTTACAATATAATAAGACAAAAAGACAATTTCAAAAGGTTGTCTCTGCTTAATCATTTATGAACAAAATAATGCTCACATTTTCTAATCTATTTCCTTTTCATATATATATATATATATATATATCCTTTTTCTTTTATAGAAACCATAGGACACACTTTTAGTCCATATGACATTAATGAAACAAAAATCCATTGCAATTTCATATAGATAAATAAATAAAGGCCATTAGCATTGACTATTGACAAGGAATTTGGATTACACATAGAAAGTTGTAGATTGAAAACCTCAATAGAAAAAGAGTAAAATTGTTATTTTGATACTTAAAATCATACAACTCTTTCACATTGTAGAAAAATAAATAAAGTATTCAACACTATGTAGTTTAACTATTGCACGTAATGTGTGATTTGAGTGATGTTTAGACTAAAATAACAACAATAGAGTTTAAAGAGAAAACAAGCATAATTTTAAGAAAAAAAAAATACTCTAAAAAAAGAGTAAAAATGTTATTTTGTTTAGCAGTTTCAAAGACAAAAAGGTTATTATAAAAAGTAAAGTGTCCTTTTTCAAAGTGTGCATCAACATACCTCCAATAATACCTGTTTTTTTTTTTTTTTTTTTAGTTTGAAGTCAAAATACCACAATTTCCAGGAACTGGTTCTATTGGTGCTCACAGGGACCAAATTTTAAATGCAAAATATAAAGGTGAAGTAGAATGATGAGGTTAAAAGAAAAGAATTAAGCAAAATATATTTGATTAATGATGTAGATAGTATATATATTTTAGAATAAGAAAAACAGAAAAATAAAAAATTGAATACTATAGTTAATTTTTTATGCACGCACATTATTATTCAAATATGCATGTATATACTTAAAAAATAATTATAAATAAAATATAAATATTTATACTAATGCAAAAAGATGTTTTGATAGGAAAGTGGGAGACAAGTGGAGACACAGCACATGCATCCATTCTACCTAAGCTCACTGCAATATCCACAGTTATGATCTTACCATTTCACCCTTCGTATTATAAACTATAAATTACTTTCTACATTTTACTTATTTCTAACATTAAAGATAAATTTGCAGTGAAGAAAAGTTGGATAAAATATTAGGTAGGATTTTCTTTTATTATTCTCATTGAAGAAGGAAAAAGCAGAATCCCTTTCTGAATTGAAGAAATATTGGTGGAAAAAGTTTAGGTCGGTTATATATTTTTGGGTTTTTGCTGATGTCCTTATCTTCTTACTTTCCATTCATGCCAAGCTTTTTCAATTAAATTATGTTATTTATCTGAAAGTCAATAAAGGCTATTTGGCTTTTCCTTCTTTCTGTCCATTAAAAACCATAATGAACAAGACGGCAATTCCTTTTCTACACATCAACCCTAAACCAAGACATGTACTGAAAGAGAAAACTATGAGCAGGAGAAAGCTGAATATAAAATATAATCATTTTAAAATAAAAAAAGAGAGGTTATTTTAAATTACAAGCATTGATTTAGACTAATGACAGTAAAAAGTATTATACCATAAATAAGATCAGAAATAAAAATACATGTAAAATTACATGATTTTTCTAAAATTTTAAATCTCCCATGTACCTAACTTTTTATTTTTACAGTACTTTTCACCGTTCGTATTACGTAGGACTAACAAATATTCATTAAAAGAATTAATAAATAATTACCAACAATATCATTTTTATTTGACCTGAAATAAGTAACTTATAATACCGTATTGGAAATTCTAATACATATCTGAAAAATATAAAAGAAGGAATTTTTGTTTTGAATTTGAAGCGGAAACATACATGTATGTCTACATTCAACTTTGCACATTCAGAGAATGGTATCATAAAAAAAAACCACACACACACAGATATATATATATATATATATATATATATATATATATTATTGGTGNATATATATATATATATATATATATTATTGGTGGATATGTGGTGTAAGAGAATGATATATTCAACAAATTGCTTTATTCATTCAAAAGATTGAGTTAGGTTTGTACTAGCTCTGTTTGGCCAACCCATCAGACTGTATACATGGAGGCGTAGGCTAATTAAACAAAATAAAATTTTTGAAAAAATGATTTGCGTAACGTATTTATAATAAGAAACTTATTTGATAGTACACGTGACTATAGTAATCAATTATTGAAATGACATATATTTTTACAAGTAAACAACTGAAACATGCAATAAAAGAGATAAATGGTTGCAATTTGATTGATTTAAATCATATTTGAGAAAGTAGGAAATAATTGATAAAATGAAATATGGTGAAAATTGATTGAGAGTGAGTGGTGGAGATTAGGTACTTTGAATGAAGTGGTGAATTTGAAGTTGAAATGTTTTGAGATTAAGAAGGCAATGCATTGGCATTATTTTATGTGTGGGTGTGTGTCGGTGCATTACATGATACAATTATATTTCATTTCCAAAGCTTCACTTTACTTAACTTATTAGGTTAGCTTTCACCCATCAACCCACTCAGCCTAACCCTTCTTTTTCAACTCATTGACTCACTGTATACATGCATAGCATAGCATATATATGTTTATTTCTGAGTCATTAGATGTGGGCTTGTGCGTAGTTTGTGGTGCAAATTTCAATGCCTCCAAATTAAAATTCATTCGATTTGATATCTCTCTTTCTTTCTGTTTGTTTGTTCGTGCGTGTATATAAACATGTTGATGTTAATGAAGTCAACTCAAAGGAACATTGAATTGGATGCAATCCCTTGAACCAGGTTTTGTCAAAGCACAAGTGATAAATAGTGAAAAGGAGGAATGGGATAATGTTATGATATGATATGATATGATATAATATAATTAATATGATGGATGTGTGTGTTGTTGGTTGGTCGGTTAATGGGTCATCCTTTTCTTCTTCTTCCAGGACTCATCACTTCCTAACATAACACTTACCATACCATTCATCTTCTCCCCTCAACAAACTTCTATTTCGCCTAATATTAAAAAACTTCATTCAAATTTCTACGCTTTGACTTACGCCTATGTACTTTCAAAGCATGGTTGATGGTTGAATTGTGAGTGGGTATGAGAGTGAGGTGCCACTTTTTCTCATTTGACCTTTTTTTTTCTTTTCTGCGTGATTTCTTGAAATAAAACGTCAACATATATGCCTTATTTGGCTTTGAGCTCTGAATTCAACATGTGAATTCCTATGACAAGTAAAGGTGAAGTGCAGTGCAGTGTGCCACAAAACTGGCTGGCTACATGCTAAACCTACCCCCTTGCTAATCAACAGCGGTTTAATTTACTTTAATTAGGTCATAACGATAATGATTCACTTCATATACAGCATCATAACATAACCCCTCGTTCTCATATACATCACCGCCATTATTTTTCACCCTTCCTGTTTTCTATGACAGCCGCCATTTAAACAAACAACGTTTACGTATTTTCATTTTTTAACCTAAATTATGCTATTCTTCTTAACTTGCAAAGCAGGGACAATACGTTCTTAATCACAGGGGTTGTCACATCATCTCAACTTAAACCGCACACTATGAAACAGAGTGGACACCACATTAAGAGTACTTTACCTTGATCCTTCCCTTCCTATAGATAATCTTCCAAGCATCACGTTTCACTGCAAAATTTACTATGAAATTAATATGGAATTTTGATTGATTACGTCTATAAATACTACATTCGTTACACCAGATTCTGAATAAGTAATTTATTTATGGTTTGGGATAAATAATGAAGAGGAATGAACCTTTGAAGTTCGAGAGAGAAAGAATTGTAACATTTTAGGATTGGGGTCCTGATATTAGAGAGAGAGAGGGAGAGAGAGAGAGAGGGAGAGAGAATAGTTTAAGGAATGTAGTTATATGGAATTGGATATTGGTTGACGTGGATAGTTTTGGAATCTTTGTGCGGTCGGTTAATGTCAAGCACTAAAATCAGATACACGTTTTCAGAATTTGCACACTCCACGGCTATGCTTCATTTGTGCAACCATTATCAACACCCAATTAATTAATTAACTATGAAACAACAATTGTGTGGAATAATCATGATTAAAGTAGCTATCCACATAACAAGGGTAAAAGTAAACGAAAAAAAGAAGAGATCATTTAGGGTAAGATTCGGTAGCTAACAGGCTATGTAAGAAATGTAAACTAACTTTATGGAAATAAAAACAATATTTAACCACCTTAAGAAAAGAAGCAAAAAAATTACGCTTAATTTGAAGAATTAAGTTTATGAAAGATGAATATATTTGAGGTGGTGAGTGGGCAGTAAGGTAGAGCACCACAAACATTCCATTCCACTCCAATTACGCAAGCCAGCACCACCACTTCCCTGCAAACCCGGCCAACACATCACTCAACCGCAACTTTCAATTCTCATCCAATCAATATCAACTTTTTAAAACTTCCCTATATATCCACTACCAACAAAAACACACATTCTTAGACCCCCCACACAACTTAAATTATTAGAACTCTGGATAGGACATGATCTATTTATTTACTTTCTCATTTTTACAATTTTAGATCATATCCCACTAATTTCATGTGATGAAATAGATACATATTTTTCACATGTCACGTCATTTTAAAATGTCAGATTAGAATATCCATTCATGGTCAACAAGATCCCTACCATAGCGCAAGTGCTGGGCTGAAATCATCTAGGTCCCTCCATGCTTCGTGCAATCATTTCAAGCAGACTAAACAAGTGATTGATGATTAGGACATTCCATAAACAATGCTTGGCTTCGACCCTTGGTTGCCGCTGCACTACTAGGGAATTAAACTAGGAAAACGAGGTACAAAAAACAGTCACCTGCTTTAAGAAATCACACTGAACAACTGTCACAACATAAGACAACAGATATATATAACACATCCTATTTAGATGCTCATTAACATGTTCGTTTTCAATTTAACAATGTTATCACATTTACAATCTTATGACGCACTTCCAAAACATTCGTCTCGAACCATACATCATCTGTCTCGGTGCCTAATTTCATAAAATATACATCCCTGCAAACCTTGTTAACAGAAATATATAGGCGGGGACGTAAATTGAGAAGGGGAAAATAAGGAATAAAATAGGACTCTTCCCTGTGGAAGATTTGGAAAAGAATACAAGCTCAGACCCCAAACTTGAAAATACACATAACGAAACAAGAAAAGTTTAGTCTTACAAAGAAATAAACCTCGGGACGTCAGCACGCCAAAAATTCCACCTCGCTATTCAATTGTTTTAAAAAAATAATGTGATATTTTTCAAATCCAAGCCATCGATCACCATCCTAGCGAACTGACCAAATTCCCAGAGTTGAACATGCAAGATATATACAGCATAACTGTAAGTTGCCCGCTAAAAATATTAGTATAGTTGGTCTTTGAATTTAAGACAGGGTTCTTTTATTGAAAGACTCCACCGTTATGTTGGCAGTGAAAGCAGGAATTGAATTCATCTTCCGGATGAATATCTCCACCTGGGAATGTATGAAGGGCATAGGTAAGATTTGGCAAAAGAAAGATAAATGTGTTAAAATTACATGCATGATGGCAATTATCATTTGCTCATTCACACAAACTTCTATTTTTAAATCTATCTACTGCTACACTCAAACTCTCTCATACAGTCACACTCACGTGGCTGAATAGATCAAATCAAATTTAGAAACAAAGAAGAAATGTCAGAATTTGGAATGGCAGTAAAATTTTCATACATGTTACTTTTCTTCACAAAGGTTAAACATGAATCAAGTTGTTTTACAGAAAATCAACTTCTAGATCGTCTCTGAAGTTTTTTTATGTTTCCAAGCATAAAATATGTTTTCCTTTCCTATATTATGTAGCTGGAAATGCACTATTTTCAGTACAAACATTTTTAGCTGAAAATAAATATCTACTCCATAAGAAATGTTCTGTTAGGACTCGCTTCCAACATTGCCAAACTGCAACTTGAAAATCGAATCCCCAAAAAACAGATCACTGAATTACTTCTTTATTTCTCTAAGTATCAAGCATTATAAACAAACAAGGTAAACAAGTTTACCCTAAAATCTCCTTTTCTAGATTGGAATTCCCAGTTTACACAAAAATTAAAATTCCCAACCTCCTCTTAGTGAAACCAGGGCACTATGTAGAGGAAGATACACTTCCTTAATAAGTTGTAACAAAACAGGAAAAAATTAACTCAACTAACACTAACGGATATAACAAACTACGTCTTCCCTTAATTAGTCTGTATTTTTCTCCTATAATAAACCTGGAAAGGTAAGGTTTACCATGTAGGCGAGATCCAACAATATATCCCTCCTCCAAAACAACCTTGTCCTCAAGGTTGAAAGTTGGGAATTCATCTATGATGGAAGAAATGTCTTCCCAAGTAGCTTCTTCTAGGGGCATTTCTACCCATTGGACCAACACTTGAGGCATTTCTGACCCAAAAACGTTTGACTGTCATTGTTCCCAAGGTGCAGTAGTGGGTAAATACCTATCGTCTCCTGTAACTCAGTTGGAAGTTGTTTCTAAAGTGGATGATGAATTGTTGCTTTCTTTAGTTGTGATAATCGAAAGACTGGCTGTACCTCGACTTGCTCTGGAAGTTGTAGCTTAAAGGCTATGGTAGCAATACGTTAAACCAAATATGATCCATAATATCAAGCAGCCATCTTGGGATGAAGTTTGATAGGCATAGAAATTTGTCCATGTGGTTTTGTGCCTTCTGTAAATGGTATGAGTTGCTTTAACTCATAAGATCTTGTGCAACAACTTCCACTGATGTTTCTCCCAGGAATTTTTTTTCCAAAGAAGGCGATGGTCTTCCTTAAACCAGTTCAAATGGGGTGCACTGTACAGCTCCTAGGAAACCAGTATTATGCCAATATTAAGCCCACCCAAGGTATAAAATCTGCCCAAGACTTCAGCTGTTCAGAACAAAAACACCCCAGATAGGTTTCCAACATTCTGTTAAGAACTTCAGTTTGTCCATCTAACATTGGGTGGGAAGTTGTGCTCATGTTCAGTTCCCTGTAGTCTGAAAATTTCCTGCCAAAATAAACTCAGTAGGATCTGACACTTACAATGGATCTTGCAGTATAGAGATGCCTAAGTAAAATAAAGGGTTAAATATGTTTTTAGTCCCTAAACTATCAAGCGAATTTGTTTTTAGTCCCTCTTTCAAAGTAAGGTACATTTTAGTCCTTCTATTGAAAAAAAACATTAATTTTTTATCCTCCCGGGAGGACCAAAAATTAAGGTTTTTTTGAAGGAGAAGGACTAAAATGTACCTTACTTTGAAAGAGGGACTAAAAACAAATTCACTTGATAGTTTAAGGACTAAAAACATATTTAACCCTAAAATAAAATATCGATTTTTACTCAGTCTGTCTACTACCAACACCGCATCAAAACCTTTAGATTTAGGAAGACCCACAATAAAATGCATACTAATTTCCTCCTAGTGACTTAGGAATGGGTAATGGCTGTCAGACCCTGGTATTTACTTTTTTGGCACACGTGACAGGTCACTACATACTCTGTTATTGTTCCCTTCAAGCCAATCAAGAAAATCAATGTTGCCATTCTTCTATAGGTTCTTTAAATACTCAAATGTTTCCCGTGGGAGATGTATGAAATTCATGGAGGAATTTAGGAACCCATAGAGAGACAGCTCTGCTATAGACTATCATAGCATGGATGTGAATTCGGATCATTTTTTACATTTCCACAATTTTGGTTAAAACTAGATCTTTTTTAACCCTTCAGCGATCTCTGCAATGTCGGGCCAAAAGGGTCAAATAGCTTGCATTTCTTTATCCTCATCCCACCGAGACAAGGCATCCCCAACTATATTGGAAGCACCCACCTTCTACACTATCTCAAATCCATACCCTATCAGATTTGGCAGCCAATTTTGCTGGTCTGAGGTGGTTTTCCTCTGCTCCAAGAAACGTCTATAAGTTTTTTGGTTTGTAAATAAAGTAAATTTCTGACCTAACAAATGTGGCTTCCCATGTTGGATAGCTAGTGTCCAAGCCATCAATTCTTTCTCATAGACTGGTTTAGCAAGTGTAGAATCTACGAAGTCACCATTAAAATATGCTACACGTCTTTTACTGCATCAACAAAACCCCTATTCCCTTTCTAGATGCATCACATTCTATGGAGAATTTGGAAATATCTAGCATGAGTAAAGTTGGAGCAGTAGTAATAATCTGTTGTAACTTGGTGAATGCTTCAGATCTTGTGTCCATAATTCCCCTTCTTCAATAAGTCAGTCAAACGGTGAATTATAATTACGTACAAACCTCTAGTAACTACTAGTAAGTCCTAAAAACTCTATCAAGGCTTTCATAATCCCATGGTAAGGGCCACTGTAAAATAGCTTTAATCTTTTGGCTTCTTTTTCCAAAAGCACACCTTTTTTGGTTAAGACAGACTGTTTTCCAAAATCCCCTACCATATTATATTGTCCTGACCGCAGGACCAAATTCTTGCAACAACTTTGTGTGGACTTCCAATTTCCACCTCCTAATCTTGCATCATAAGGCCGGTTGGGTTGCTTCCAGTTGGACCCACAAGCTTTTAACTACCTTGCCAGATATGAAATTGTGACTAGCTTCACTATCCATCGGGATCACAATTTCTTGACCCTGCAGTTTTCCTTTCAGCTACATAGTTTGTGGTTGTGCCTTGCCACCTGCTGAACATATTGACAGATGCATCCGTTGTCAAACCATCTCCACTATCCTTCCTAAGTTCTAGTTATGAAGTACCAGGACCCAACACTTTCACTGTTAAAACCTATAAGTCAAAAGTCACTCCCAAGGCTCAAACAAAACCTTCACGGATCACACACAATCATAAATAAGAGGTCAAATCCCTAAGTATTTTTTAAAAATATTATAATATTATAACATTGTTACCTGACGAGAAACCTCGGGCAGAGATGTATAATGATTTGCCTGTTTTCATGAAAAAGATAAAAACGGAAAATTTCAGCATCTATATGCCATCATTTACAAAAGACTGAAATATTCGCACTGTTTCAAGGTCCAAATTGATGGGAGGGGGAGGGAGAGGCAGGTGCCTCCTTAATATTGAAGATCAACACAAACTCTAAATAAGGTATACAATTAAAGAAGTAAACTCAGCATTTCTGTCTCATTTCTAAATTCAATACAAAATTCAAAATCTTACCAAAATGTTAGTATTCCCTGATTCATATTCAAATTCAAGCTTCTCATCGTCACTTTGTGCATAAATGGATTGCAAGGTAAATCGTGTCACCGGTATTCCATTTGGTCGATGGTGTTCATCCATCACAATCTGTCAATATATCAACAGAAACATAAGGATTTTTTTTAAGAGTAGCAGAAGAATAAGTAGCCAATTATCATACTAAATTGTCAGTTTTTTTCCAGTTTGAATATAACTTAATAGAAAATGAATGGCAGACATTTATTTTACAGATTAAACAACAGAACTAATGGTTAACACATCAAGCTACCCAGAAAGGATTTTATATTTTTGAGGCAGAATTTCCCCAACAGAAGCATGCTACAGTCTTCCATCAAAATACAGTGATTAGAAATCAACTATGCATTTAGAGTTTATACATGAGTACTGGCAAAAATAACAAAATGGGTAGAGTAAATACCCCGTTTTTGGAGATGGTTTTTACCCAGAAATTTTAATGATGAGTGAGTACGGGTGCTATAATATCCATCCTGCTCCACCTCACTGCTGTTATGTATATACATGGTTAGGATTTGTTTATGCATCCTGCCCCACCTCTCATATGTTCTCATTTAAATTGGTTAGATATATTAGATATTTATCTTTTATCTTTTGTTTATCTGTTACTATTTCTTTTCTATCATTATTTGTAATTTGGACTTGACCCATATTCTCTTTATTATAAATACAATATCCTATGTGTATTTTCTACACAAGGAAGATTACTCAATACCTATTTTTCACTATATTCAACAAAATTGATAGAATTATGATACAATGAGTATATGAAAGAGCAAAGATCAACCTGGGTTTCTAGGTACAACATATAGCAGTATTCGAATACAGCTACTTCTGACCTATATTTAATACCTATTCTAACAGTTTCAATCCTCAAAAAAAAATGTAGAAAAACTAGACCAGTAAATAACATTACCAACCTTGTAACCAAACAGTTCACAGCATGCCCTCCGGAAAACTGAAATTCGGTCTGCAAACACAGTCTTGTATCTGTTGATATTTCAGTGTTTTAGTTATTCTAGAGTAATCTCATGACAACAAAGTAATAAAGGTATGTTTGGACAAAATTAGAAGAAAAAATTGACTGCTCTCCAAGTTAAAATTAGTCCATGTAGAAGTCAAAAATAAAAATTTGGCAAAATTAACTTTATTCTTCTTTTCATATTTTTTTCACAAAGTGGTTCATACGGAGAAACAGGTCCAAAGAGACGCTAAATTATACACACCTTTCTTCTCGTTTCTCAAGTGTTGCAATTTGCTCTTTTAATTTCAACATCTTATCCGATATGTAGCTATCTACTAGCTTTCCAGCTTCTCCTAAACAGTTAAAACCTAGAAGTGATCAGAAAAACCATACATCTAATAACATTATTATACAATGCAATGGTTAATAAGGCGGTACAAGAAGATATAAACCACCCTTAAGGCACTGAACACATGCTTTCATCTTTACAAAAATTGCATTACCATTGATGTCTATACCTTAAAAGGACAGATGTCAAACTAATATCATAAAAAGAATGCACATTTCATTTTTATATTCAGTTTGTTTCCACTTTTTTATTTCTAGTTTAGCCATTTTCTGAGAGCCTCTTGGATAACATTCTTATCAAAAGGTTAACAGATGGCACTGGAAGATATAGACCACCCTTAAGGCACTGAACACAGGCCTTCATCTTGCAAGATTCCCATTAGCATCGATATCAGTCTTGATAAGATAGAGATCAGACAAATATCATAAGAAAGGAAAGCAAGTTTCATTTTATTTTATTTTTTCCATTTTTTGTTTCTATTTTGGCAATTTTCTAAGAAACCCAGACCCTTTTGGCATACCTCCTGTATACTTAAATAGGTTTCTTTGGTAGTTTTTCTTTTAAATATTTGATTTAAATCAAGTAATATAAATTTCTCAACCAGATACCAGAAAAAAAAAATCATTCATTGCACACTGACTAAAATTAACTATTTGGTTTATGCTGAGCCTTGAATTCTAATTATAAAAAAGAACAGACAGTTTTGATCAAGAAGCATATACTGTCCAGTCTAGTTAACGCAGATAAACTCTTCGACAGGATTCCAGAAATTTGACTACTGGCTTCCAAAAGAAGCAAAATGTGAATAATAGCCAGTGGTAAGTGTGTCCGAGATAGAACAAAAAGACAAAATTCTACCTTTCGGTTTTTTTATCTATAATCATTATACATACCGGCAGAATATTAATATGTACTAAAAATTCCACAAAAAGGATATGAGGACAATAAATAAGAAACCAAGACATTATATTCTCTTCCTTTTGGTATTTATCTAAATACTACAAATTGCAGAACCATTTTCAAAAGCCTCAAACCATTCTCCTCCATCAGCCCATCTTGCCTTTATTACCAACTCATTTTAAAACATAACATTTAGAACTTTATACCTGATTGACTTTTCAATTCTTCCACAGCTTTTAACTTCTCTTTTGTTTTTTGCAGCTCTGTTTGCAGTGCCTCTATCGTTTGTTTGGCCTCATTATCAACAGTAAGTGTATTCACCATACGCAGAACTTTCGTATTAGCAGCAGAAAAATCACCGTGACCCAACTAAAGGAAAAACAAAGTCTAAAAAGTCAGAATGTAAAATGAAAACCAAAATCTGGACACCTACGGTAGATAACTAATACATCAGTAACACGTGACAGATATAATAAATGAAGAGGACATAATATTAAAAACATGAGCAATGCAATTGTGTACTACTGTGCCTTGTGAGAGCACCAACGCCACCAACCTTTGCCTCTAGTAATGAAATCTCTGATCGGAGTCGGTCACTCTCCCTCTCCAATGACTTCACTCTTCTTGCTTCACTGTGCAACTTTTCATTAAGTAACTTTATTTCCTCTACTTGACGACTATTAATCAATTTCTGATCATGCAAGGTACTTTCTAATTCTTTAATGCAATCATCTTTCTTCGTAAGAAATGATTCAGGTTCCTGTATGCATTAACCATGCAACAAGGAAAAAAATTAAGAGAAAACATGATAAGTTAAATGATAATGAAATAAAGGGAACTGTAACCTGGACAGTATTTACATTTTTTGATGCATCCAGAGTTTCAACATTCTTGAAAGCACCATTTCTTAATTTATTTCTTTCCTCAGTAACAACAGCAAGCTGCAAGACAATTAATATATAATTTAAAAGCACATAACATAAAATAATGGCAACAAAATGATTACATACTTCAGATAAAGCTATCCACGGTAACTATCACTGCCATACAGGAGATCTTAAAGTTACAATGAATAGATTGCCCAGAGCTTATGCCCCCAATTACAGCAGTTTCTTCAAAATACACAACATTGCTTCAATGCAGCAAAAGGGGTCAAATGCAGCGATAATAAAAAGCAACTGTACTGGTTTTAATAACTAGAGTGTTGCCATTCACATCCTAATATAAATCAAAAAGACTTCAAGACAAGGATTTCTCTTAAGATAAGGTAAATACTCAGATAATTGGGTATTGTAATGTTGATTGAGAAGGATCTCCTATAGGTTGGCATTCCATAACCTCCTATTGTGTTTTCTTTAGAGGCAATATTATTTTTTGAAAAAACAATAAACAAAATGTGGTTATTTGATCTAGTGCCGAAGTATAGGGCAAAGATATTACTCACTTGTGAATAAAGCAGCTCCTTGAAGAGCTTAATTTTTGTGAGATACAACAAATGACCATGTACTATGTGTGACAACCAGGTAGTTAGTTATTCACATCAGTTCCAATCATGTATTTCATGAGAGAACCAAACATACAGAGATTGAATGTTGAATGTCATTTTGTTCAGAAGTTGTTGTCCAATGATCAACTTGTGGATATTTTAACTAAGTTCTTGAGAGGACCTCGAATTCAAATTATAGGTTCCAAATTTAGTTCATACAATCTATATGCTCCAACTTGAGAAGTGTTTGAATTGCTGAACTTATGCAAAGGGGTGAATTTATTAGAATAGCTTAACTCATCTTTTGCATTATCTATTTGACACCTATGAGTAGATCATCATATCTCTTTTGTATTTTACTGATGAAAAAAAAATGACATAAATGAATGGATCTGCTAAGAGATACTTAAGCCCCTCTTGTACATCAGTGAGTACTTTGAGACTCACTAAGTTCTCTGAAAACTCGAGTACATATATGACATCTACAGGAACCATGATTATCGGTGATGAAAAATACAACCAAAAGCCTCTCAAGTTATACCATCCTCCTAGCATCTAAATCCCTTCCAGATATGCCATAAATTCTCCTACTGTCAAGTTCCATATCTAAAATATAACATTCTAACTACAGGTTCCAAAGCCTATATTTCTTTTGGGGGCATCCAAATATCCGAAATACATAACCTAATAGACAAATATTTATCTATTAATTTAGATAAAGCAACTTTTATTAGCATTTCTTCGTCTGTTCTATAAATGCATGCTTTACACAAGCCTGGATAACAAGAATAGCAGATAAGAATTTAAAAAATGGCAATGGAAGAAATGCATAATATAAAGCATCTAAAGAACAAGTAAAATGTTCAGCAATTATCAGAGTGTCATGAAAACATCCAAATCAAACACTGACCATTAATTCAATTCGTTTAATATCTGATATCAATACTTCTGCTTTCTCTTTAGCCAATACGGACTCAGCTTCAGCATTTTGTTTACCAATTTCAGTAGCATCTAGAGCCACCTCCATTTGTTTCAAGCGAGCAGTTATCTCGCCCTCCTTCTGTGTACTACAAATGACTTCTCTGCAAATGATACAAGATATCAAGATCAAAGACAATAGGTGCATACTTGCACGTAAAGAAGCATAGAAGTATACAGTACTGAGTAATTTACACACAGAAATATGCCACGTAACAGAAATAGATATTATCATGAATATAGATGAATACACAAGGCTTCAAAGACCACCACTTTTCAGCAAAGTAGTGAGAATCAAATGCCCAAAAAATGAAAAAGTAGTGTCATAGGGAATAGGCTAATAGGACATCATCTAAAAGATTTATGGCCTCGAGATACTCATAAAAAAAAGATTAAATAGAAGCAATCCAATATCAACCCAGATAAAAGGCTCTAAATGAGTATTCCAGAATTATTAAACTAGGCAATTCCTCTAAAAGCTCAAATCTATTAGTATAACCATGCAAACAGATTTGTAGCTACTGACGTACTTCTGTAAAGCTGCAAATTTAACAGGCAAGTCCTCAAAACATGTGACACCAGGTATGTCTGTAATCATCATTCTCCACGATGATATTTGATCCTCTAACTTTTTCATGTTTAACTGGATATCCTGTAACTTGGATAGCTCTGATTCTGCCCTTTCCCGGTGACTCTTTTCCTCCAATAATTTCTCCTTCAAAAGGTCAATGTTCTCATGACTTGATCTCAGTTTTCGCGCTTCCCTAACTTCAGATTCCTAAAATGTCAATTGAAATACATTATCATAGTACTGTAGTGAACAGATTCAGTGATAACTCATCTGTAATTTCCTAGCAGGCGGGAAAGGCACAGAATATACTAATCCAGTATTATAGTTTGAAATTAAAAATTTTAAGAATTAAACAAAAAAATGAAAGGCTCCATTCTGTTTTCAGAGGCAAAAGTGCAAGAGAAAATATACAATGACATTGACAACCAAAATATTGCATCCTTCAGAAGCAGAAAAAGTAATCCGTGTCACACACACATCAATATGCACTCAATCTTTTAAAAGTTGTGTTCCACAATAATGAATTGGCCAACATAGGCTTGCTGTAAAAGAGAGATAAACTGAGTAAAACACCAGCAAAGGGATGGCTACAGAGGAGATATTACACAATAGCACAAGCTTAAAAGAAAATAGAATATTTTTTGAAATGAAGTGAAAAAGTTACATATATATCTCTTTGGTATTTCTAAATATGGGGTGTCGGATTAAACTACAGTCACTAAACTCTACAACTAACAGGGACAAAAATTTGTAAATGAAAATTAAATACATGGTTTAGGCACCAAACCATAAACATCCAAACAGATTTAAATGAAACAGTCAAATCAAGGGCCAAGACTACCGAATTTTTTTTTACAATTATGCCAGATGATAATTACAAAAACGCCATCAAGACATCAATGTATGCATTCTCACATTACTATAATCCCTATAAACAGAGCATCAAGATACAAGCTAAAAAACAAGCAAACTTACATAGCTCCGAAGCTCCTGTTGCAAATGCTTGACTAAAACATTACTCTCTGTAGAAGCAACTTCTTCAAACATTAAACTAGATACTTTTCTTTCAAGTTCAATCTTTTGGTGCAAACACTGGAAACAGGAATCATGATATATTGCGATCAGATGTCAGTGGAAATAAAACAAGGCAATAAAATGAAGCATGTACAATACATTAATCTACCAGAAAAATGTCCTCGTGAGAGTAAAAGGCTTAAAACCAAATCAAAATTTCATTTTCCAGAGGATACCTTTGTTCACTGGACATTCTTAAATAAACAATAAAAGTCAACAAGCAGCTAATTAGACACCCAAACCTCATCAAGTTGATCCTTAAGATGTTTCAGTTGTTCTTTTAGAAGCTCTGCTTCTCTCTCAGCATTATTAGCTCTGCATTCCATTTGTTCAAGCTACAACAAAAACAATACAAAGCTCAAACAATAACATAAAGATATTAGCTTTTTAATATGAAAAACAAATAAGACACTTACATTTGCAGATATTCTAGAAATCGATAACTTTGAGTCACTTTCCAGTTGTGACTGCTCATCATGAAGTCGCTTTTTTTCCCTTTCTATACTTTCTGCGAGATGGCCTAGCTTTCCTTCTAAAGATGTCGTTTTCTCCTCTGCTGAAGAAGCCTGAGACTCAGCCTTTTTGCGAAGGTTCATCTCATTTTGGAGCTTTACCTAAATTCCAGTTGGGAGAAAGTTGAATCACACTCTAGAATTGCATCACAGGCAGAGGGGTAGTAATAAGCTTCAACAGTAAGTTTGAAAAAAATAACTATATACTATCACCAGATCAACATGACAAAGAAAACATGATGACATGGTATTAGAAATTTGCACGAATGCCACACACAAAACTAATTGAACATGACAGATTCTCCAGCTAATGAAGTAGTAAAGAGTGTAGGCATTGAATAGTTGAGTGACAAATAAAATAGTAGAAAACGTGGAACAATCAAATAAGATAAGTACGCAAGTGCTCTTTCAATTCCTTCTCATTTAACAATTTAAGCTTGCACAACTTTTCAATTTCTTCAACTAAAATTGGTGAAAGAAAAGGAAAAAGGATATCACATTGAATTGTGTGATTTGTAACACTAATTCATTAACGCATTGTAGGATAAAAAAAGATCATTTGAGATTCATCTTATAAATACAAATCAATAGGAAATAAAATTGAATCGAATAATTGGATTCGAATCAAGATCATAAAGTTTAATAGTTATCTAAAAGAATTAAAAAAGAAAAATAAGCACACCTGGAGTTCGCTGTTCAATTGAATTTGTTTCCTTAATCGTTCTTGAGACTCGGTGACCTCCTTCAAGAGTTGTTCTTGGAGTGCCTGTTCACGCCCTTTTGCAGCTGCAAGCTCCTGTTCTGCATATAAGAATTGGTCCACAAATTTCTTCCTCTCGGATTCTGTAACAAGTTAACAGTTAAAGCAAACGCACAAAAATAAAGGATATATTGGTATAAAGAAAAGGTAAAAGATCACGAGGATGTAAATTAAAATATGCTGAAAAATATCAAGTGAAAAGCCACTTCCACTAGCATGTACTGACCAACTTTTTGGAAATTATCCTCCAATGTCTCAAATTTTGATTGATAATCACGAGCTTGATTTTCAGCTTTGCTTAAGGCTTCAATAAAATCTGATTTGACCTGCAATAATTTGACATGCAAAAATATGTGTTGGAAGCAATAGCATACACACTGGAGGAGCTTCGATGTTACAAGGGGTAGTTGTGGCTCCCACAAACTTTTCTAGGAGTAAATACGCGTCAATATATGCCTTTTCAAAAATCTCACACGACTGGAGTGTTTTAATCTTGACTATTCGTGACAAGATCAAATTATTTAATATTTATTTTCTTACTTTCACACACACACGTATATTAGTGAAAAGTGCAAGCGCAGCAATGATTTTAATTATAACCTCTAACCATGAAACTTTTATTATACATTTTTCTCTCAAGTCCTAACAAACATAAAGAGAAAAACTTCATCAGCAGCTAATCTTCTTCCATTGGAAAAAGCGAGTGATTGAGACTCAACAAAATCCAAGAAAGATAAACTGTTCCTTTCATCTTCTTTTATTTTTTTCTAAGTTCATGATTTCTCACACAAACCAAGACCTTAAAAAGCAGTACTCTACTGCTCTTTCATCTGCACTGTCGATTTTATTAGGGTGTATGCAACTGCTATTGAGGCTGCTGCATTGGCAGCATATATCCACAATACCAAGGATCTAAACCCTAAACTGCAACATCAACCGCAAGTTAAAAGCTAGAACACATTAAGTGGTCTCGATTGCAAAGCAAAACAATGCTGCGTGCGGACAGTGCCAGTAGTGAACTATATTTGTGCGTTAGTTTTCTCAAAATGTCAGCATAGCTAGGCAGATATGTCAAATGTGTTGTCGTGTCTAATTTGTTGACACATCTTCACTACGAGGCTCGTTTAGTTTAGGTTTTTATTTATTCTGATAAGCTTTTAGTACAACTTGATCACAAGAAAATGAAGCAACAGTATAGAAATGGTCGAGACAGTGAAAAAATATTATTAGATAAAGCAATCCAGATAGCAGGAGCACGTGATTGTCGATTTTTTACGTGATAACGTGAATTGACGAGAAAGAGGGAAAATAAGACAAACCATCTGGCGACACTGATAGGTGCAGAGCATGTGCTCCGAAGCCGAGGGTTCCTGAGATGACTCCGGCGGATCCTCGTAGATGACCAGCTGTCCATTGCCGTCGCCGTCCGCATCGCCGCCGTCGCGTGGCCTCTTTGAGGGAGGTGGAGTTCTCAGAATCATTTTTCTTCTTCCCTCCTTTCTTTCGCTTCCTTCTAACAAATTCTGTTTGAATTTCACAGCACAGCCACCCACAGAGCGCAAATTTTATAAGCTGTAATAACCAAAGAACTTTAAGAAATATATTTTTTCTTGGAATAATTTTCATAAAGTGGTGTCGTGGTGTAGTTGGTTATCACGTCAGTCTAACACACTGAAGGTCTCCGGTTCGAGTCCGGGCGACGCCAGCTTTCGTTTTATTAAAAACAAAATTAATTTTTGGAATTATTACAATTTCATATTTTTTTTTATAAAAATATATTATTTAACAATAATGTAGAAAGAAATAATAATAACTATGCATACATTTACTCATTATTTAAAATCCATTCATTAATGTTAATTAATAATCAGTGTTCATGGTGTAAAACAATATTATCTTAGAACTGAAAACTAGTTGTACATGGCCAACATGATGCTTAACACTAATTAACTAGATCATGATTTATTCGGTGAGCTTCAATTATTTTCTTTTTCACAGCCAATATATCCAATGTTTGTAAGTAATGTAAAATTCTAACTAAAATATAAAAAATAAATGTATATTTAATAAAAAAAATACTATTGTTATTTTCGGAGTCTTTGATTATTTTTAAGTGTTTCCTTGTTTTTATATATGTACTATGTATAATGAAATAAAAGTGCAAAATTTATGCATTTGTTTTAGTTTAAATTAGTCAAATTGCAATATGTGAGACATTAACCTTCCATCCATGAGATGAAATAACAGAAAACTAGTTGTAACTTGATTATTTATGTTTGTACCACACTTTTCAACATTCACTTTCATTTGTTTTGTATGTGATAAGTGTTTTTCCTGTTCCAATATTCAATGTTATACTAACATTATATTATTCGTTTTGTTGTGCATGACGTTAACGTTACCTGATGAATAGAGATTGATTATTCAATCATATTAGATACAAACAAAGAGAGTCATTCGAGGTGATCCTTCACAATTGCATTTCTTCATGTTGCTTCCTTCATTTGAGTTTACTTTATTTTAATTGCTTAGCTTTCATTCCTTGTTTCCTTGATGTCAATTTTTTTCCTTTATTTCCTTACGATTTGTTTTACCAAAAAAAGTTGTTTTTGTCATAGGTTCACAAATCCATAAAGTTGTTTTAATATTCTCACTTATTTTATTTATGGTTAAGGTGTGGTGAAAGATTTATGATTTAAAAATTTTTAAAATACTTATTAATTTTTAATGAATATGACTTTAATGTTTGTAAAATATCATTAATGTAGTAAAAGATAATCTCTAACAATATTATTTTTTACAATTCTTGAATTAAATGTCGTCCCTTTCACCTAGGCAACACATGTGAATTTTATATCAAAATCACATACGACGAAGACATTTTAAGTTTGTCAGAGTCTCATATATTGGAATCCTTACTTGAACATGAGTTACATTTATTGTTCCTAGACAATCCTATTTTAGACACATTAAAAATGTAAATAGATATCCTTTCATTTATACAATTTACAAAAATATAAACAATTACGGTGACTATTACCTTAAATTACGTGTAAAATTGACCACTGTAAAAGTCAAAATGATGTACCTCTATCTTCAACAATTGAATTAGAAACTCTAATTCCAATGTTAAAATTGCATCTAATATATCATGAAATTCTTTGTTAATGTCAACCCTAAACGATAAAGAAAAATGAAACATTGTGATTTTTCACATTATGTCCAATGATGTGTTGAATTTTAGCAACTTGCTTCTCTAATATGTAGTGTATGACATCCTTCACTAACCCAATTGTCTTTAATCGCTAACATAGGTTAATAAATATCTTTAGTCTCTTCTGAATAATGTCACGAAATGAATTTATATGCACTAAACATCAATTGCTTCTATGACGTTTTTTATATGGAACAAAATCTCTAACATTATTTGTTAATCTAAAATATATATTAAATATATTAAACACATATGCAACCATGCACAATGTTAGTGCAATTACTATTGTTTCACATATCCTGCTAATATAACTATAGATTCTTGAAACCAAGCTTCGAAATCGAGCTTTCTCGACTTTACTTATCAAGCTTTCCAACCTTCTTCATTGTCGAGTTTGACTTCACTTTTTAACAATTATTGACATAAATCACAAACATGAATCGTGCATGTACACTTGCCATACTCATTACGAAACTCACACGGTTTAAGCAAACACCAAGTTATCTCTAAAGTTTTTAGAAAACACTATGACACAACTCACACCAAGCTATCTCCATAGCTTTAAGGAAACACTGCAACAAGAGTGACATCAAGCTATATTTGAAAAAACACCACAACATAACTCTCCATCACCACTCCTCAACTACTAGCTAGTATACACCAACCAATTATTTAATGACGCATTAAAAACATAAATTCAACACTTAGCCATACATAATCAACAAGTCATAGCTGTCTGATCACCTTTTCAATCAAAAATATCTTATATATTTTAAGAATCTCACTTATATGTGTATATAAAAAATAATCGTAATGATAAACACGTCATAATAATACAAATTAAGAATAATTACATAAAAACACATTAATTACTCTCAAATCTCATTTTTGTATGGGATGTCAAATTTTGCGTTAATATCGCAAATTCTTTCTTTGGATCGCTCCCTCGTTTTTAGAAAATAACATAAAAATATTCTGTGAATCATCGTTTTTCATTCTCCCTTAACGGTGATTCCTCCCTAAAGAACTCAGTAAAGTTAAACAAGATTTTTCGTCTTGGAAAAGGAAATAAAAAAAAAAATACCATGATAATAGTAATAATAGCAATAAATGAATGGAATGACATATGCTTGATAGGCACGGGACAATGGGGGAATGTGTAGGGTTTGAGGGGCACGCATTGGATCCCTGTTTCTATTTTAGTTTTACTTTCTCTCTCTTGGTCTGCATACTCTCTCAGCTGCAACACAATAAGCAGAAAAAAAGAAGCAAGGTTGGTTGATCCACGCCCAAAGAGTGAGTGATCGTTATATCTGCTTCCACCTGTGCTTCCCCTGATTCTAAATTCGATTCCCAATCAGGGAAATCCCCACTCTCACTTCTCTGCGAACGGATCCCCCTCTACGCACCTTCTTCACAGCTATTTTTTTTTGTTATTTTAATCACTTCAGTCTTCAACCAAACTATCATCATCATCACCATCCGCTTTCTGCAGTTTACACACAATTTAACTTTCTCTGCTTCGTTTAGGTTGATTCACAAAGCTATTTACTCAATTGCTATATTCTATTCTCACCTCCACCAGGAAAACAGTTTGAATTTCAATTTATAGTAATTTGCGCGCTTCTCTCCATGGCATTTTCTGCTTCAACTCACAAATCTACAGGAATTCATCCAGGTTTCACACAATTCTTTCTCACATGACATCCTTTTCCACTAATCCTCTGCTGCTTTGTTTTTTTTTTTTTGTTTTTTTTATGGGATAAAGCGTGGTTTTATTGTAATAAATATCCCGAGCGATGATTTATTGACAATAAATGTTACGTCGGGAATGAAATTACAAAAAATATATGCCTATTTTTTGTGCTCTTAATCAGCTTGGATTGCTACCCGCTGCTTTATATGTTTCTGACTCAAATGATGCTTAATTATTGTTCTAGTAAATTTTGACTTGTTTTACACTGCTCTGGATTGTCCATGAAGTCTCGAGTTGAGAGCCAAGTTTGAGATTGCACCCTCTTGTACCTGTTTAATATTTATGTATTCTGGACAGGTAACTATAGATCCTGTAAAAAAATATACATGCTGCTAACTCCAGCTAGCACTTAAAAGGATAGAGCTAGAACTGGGATTATAATGCTATCATCTGCAACTGCAACTTTCTAAACTTCAATGGTTGGTTAATGTAATGTAATACTTCTTATTCTTAGAAACATAAGCACAGTTTCTTTTTTCACCCTCTCTATTGAAGCTATTTTGTATGTTGTTGCTGGGGAATGTATTTTGAATTTTGCAACAGGCTTGACACATCCAGCTGCTTTTTTGCTTTGTGATATTAGTTTTACCATTTCTGTCGTGAATGACTTTAGCTGATTGAACTGTTTGGCAAACGTTATCAATGTTGAAAGGTGTTTTGCGTTTAATGCATATTTCAAAATCACTTTATGTCATTGTGTACTTCATGTTTTGTTGTAGGGGCAATCAATGATGATTTATACAAGGAGTTGTGGCATGCCTGTGCTGGTCCCCTTGTCTCTCTCCCTCGTGAAGGGGAGCGAGTTTATTACTTTCCACAAGGTCACATGGAACAGGTATTTTGGTTTAGTATTTAGTAACTTTAGTTTTACAAATTCCTCATTTGAACTTAGCAAGCAAAATGTATTTGTAAGCCTGGAAAAATATAAAATGTTATCCTTTCTCACAACGGCAATCCTGTGGAAACAAATTTCAAATGTATAAATTGATTTATTGAAATGAAGTTATTTCAAGAACCCTTTTTTGAAGGAACAATTCAACGAGAACACTTTACCTTTAAAAAAACTAATACTTTCATATTTTCTCTTAAGTATAATAATTGTCTCTAAAAACTACTGTAATTGAACTTTCCAAAACTGTCAGTAACATTAAATAATACCAACACTAGCGCAAAATTATCATTTTATACCTGACATCGGTCACTCTGGTCCCCGACCAATGTCAAAGATAGATCTCGAATAGTGTATAATCACTAAAAAATTTCACAGTTGAATTGGGGTTTCCTTATAGTGCTCAATAACAATAGAAATACCAATGAAACACAAATCAGTAATGTCACACATTGCTAATTCGATTCCCTAAATTTTTAAATGGAATGCCTAAATTGACCATCCAACCTTCCATGTATGAAATTGTACTAGTAAATTTATTATCCAAGCTTTTGGGTTTAGTTTACCTCAGAGCAAAATAATCAACTTTCTAGGACTGGATAGCATGCACTGTTCTCAGAGCACAATCTCAACTTGAATTTTTTCCCAGAATGAAAAAGAGAGTTATACTTGAAGCTTGGA